CGCCCTATCCAGCGCCATCCCCGGCGCTATCCGGCGTCCGGCCGGCTCTTTTAAATTCCGGATTTCTTGAGGAATTACACTCTTGCCGCCGGAGTCATGCCGCGATAGAGGCACAAATTAGTTCCTGCCTTCTTTGCAGTTGCCCATCTCAGTTTGAATATATCAAAGTAAAATTTAGCTTACGAGGTGGTATTGTAAAGTTTTAATTATCACCTTTAAAAAAATTTGTCAGAAAGTTTGTTTTGATTTGTAGTTGTTAACTTATCTCTAAGTAGTGAGATCCAGATGGATACCATCTAGATTTACACATTTCCCCCAGCATTTCTTGACCCTCCGAATACCGTTAATTGTAGAAGTCTGCAGATTGCATCTTGAACCACTCTTCCACTTTATGAATGACATCATCTGTGTTTTCAAATCGGCGACCCCGCAACAGATTTTTCATTTTTAGGAAAAGAAAATGTCACTTGGTGATGATGACAGTGACAAAATTTCATCAATATATCATAATAACTTCCTGGTGATAATCATTACTTTACTATACCCCCTTGTACATCTCCATCTTACACTTTAGTAACTTCTGGCACAACCTGTAACAAAATAAAGAACACAGTGAGCTGATTTTCTCAACATCATGCACTTAGGGACCAATGGTGACACTGACAAAATTTCATCAGTATGCCATAATAACTTCTGGGTGATAATTATTACTTTACGATACCCCCTCATATAGTGACTTGTCATTGACTGAACTACTATAGAGGGGCCTAAGAGCTATAACAGAAGTAGAGACATAGGAAAGAGAGAGGCTAAGCTTGGGCTAGAGGAAGCAGCAGCTAAAGAGAAATAGAAGCTGCAGAAGAAAATGGTTTTGACTGGGAAGTAAAGAGAGGTCAGAGGGAAGTCTGAGGAAAATGGAAACTAGTGAGAGATTTACACATGTTGAAACTTTGTAGAGTATAAGCAGCATGCCTCTTGCCGAGGAGTTCAGTACTCTGTATCTCTTGTTGCTGTTGTTGTTGTGTGCCTTCAAGTTATTTCTAACATATGGTTGATCCTAAGGCAAACTTATCATGTGGTTTTCTTGGCAAGTTTCTTCAGAGTGATTTGCCATTGCCATCCTGTGATCCATTTGTATTTGAGGAAAAGCCATTCTATTATTGCTGACTTTGCTACCAGTGTTAAACGTAGCAATTAATCTTGATTTATCTTCAGAATCTCCCTCCTGGGGTTTCGCTTTTTGATAGAAATTGAATGCTACCGTGTGTACTGATTGTGTTTAAAATAGTTTTGTTCATTTTGACCATTGTCAGACTACCCATTTAGCAGATATTGTGGGAACAGTGAGTGCTTTTTAAGCACTAATGGAAGGTTTTTCAAGAATTGTGGCTTAATTATTGTAGGCTTACCTGCTGCATGTCTGTTGATGCTCTCCTTTTGAAAATGAAATGTCATATGTTTAGGTAAATACCAAAGTATTTTCCCCTGTCATTGTCAGAGCTTGGAATAGGCATTTTTGGACTACAACTGCCTGATTTCCCCAGCCATCATGCAAATTCAGTACAGATTCTAGGAATTGTTCATCCAGAAAGTAGGGATGTAGACCTGAGTTGATTGACTTGGACTCAAGTCGCTTCAATGACTAGACTTGAACTTGACTTGGCAATAAATGACACACTGACTCGACTTGACTCAGGACTTGTATATTTTTAGTGACTGACTTGCTAACATCATTCACTTCAGGGCAGCGGGCAAGGCCCATCCCCAGAGCATGGGATGTATCTCTTGGAGAGGAACAGCAAATATGTTAGGGCTTGAGACAGGCTTGAGAAATGGGGTTGAGTCGGAAGAATTTTTCTACAGTTTTTGGAAAGCGTTTGAAAGCTCCTCTGCTATACAGCAGGGGCAGGCTGCCAAGCAGACCTCAACTCCTGTCTCAAGCCCATTGCTTACCACATTTGCTGTTCCCCACTGAGAAATTCACCCTGGCTCCTTTTTTCCTAAAAGTTGGCTCCCAGACTTGGAATCTGACTTGAGACTTGTCTTGAAAGTATCTTACAAGGACTTCAGACTTGACTTGAGCTTTGGAATGAAAGACTTGAATACATCACTGCCAAAAAGGAAACTCCCAAGTCCTGCTTATTCTCCAGAAGTATTTTCTAAGGACGTTATCACACGGGGCCCAATCCAAACAGAATCCAAACAAAATCCCGCCCGAATCCGGATTATTTGCCCGTGTTTTCACATGATGTCGCACAGAACCCCAACAGAAAGTGGACAGAAAGTGGAAAGAACCGAGATCTTTTGAATTTCGGTTTCTTGAGGAATTGCAATTGCGCGATGAGAATCATTTCGCATTTACCGTTAGTCTGATAACCAAACACGTATTGTGGAGCATTTCCCCGTCATTACCCATGGTTCCCGCGAGCATTACTCTATCTGCGCATGTGCAGGAGGCTCATTTCGGCTACATTTACGGGTTTTTTCTCTTGTGTGTGGATGTTTGATACACTTACTGTAAATGCGCAATGAAGGTAATGACGTTTGCAGAAACAAGATTTGAGAGGGAAAAATTTGCCTCTGCTTTTTAAGTGGGTATGGATATAATCCTGCCCGTGGAGGAAGTGTATGCATAAGGACAGTTTTTATGTGATTCCAGATGTGCTCTTAAAATACAGCATGGACCACCATTTGGGTTTGGGCCTGTTGGCCACTTTTTATAGGGCAATCACAAAATTCCATATGAGACATAAAGAGGCAGATTTGCTGTGGCTGCAATTTAATGGCTGTGTGGTCCATTGCAGGAAGGAAGCTGTCCTGTGCTGCTATCTCTGAGCAGCTACCAAGGTGGACCAAGAAGCCTTAATTTCCTTGCTAGAGGGTGATGTAAGTAGGAGATGGACTGATTTAAAGCATTGCCAACAAACATAGTTGTCATAAGGTTATTAAATTAGGTGGCTTGGTTGCTGGTGATATTTTATGTTGACATTCTCACTTTCCAAGAAATAAGGAAGATCTTTCAGACATTGCCCAAAGAGGCTCACAATAGTAGTTCTGTGTAGTAATGAACTTCAGGAATGTGCAAGGGAAGTATTTTGCCTTATTCTTGTACAAATTGCATGGAGGGAGAGTAATATAATGGCTATCGTGCAGGGGCTAAAAGTGTGGAAACCCAGGGCCTTTACAGACTGCCAGAAATAATGCAGCTTGAGGTCACTTTAACTGTCCTGGCTCAGTGCTGTGGAATCATGGGAACTGCATTTTTTTTTCTGGGACATTGAGCCTTCTCTGTCAAGAGAGCTCTGGTGCCCAGTTTCAAAACTCCATGAAGCTCTCAGGGGATGATCTCAATCTCTCTCATTCTCACCCTAACATACTTCTGTAGGTTTGTTATGATGATAAAATGGATGGGAGAACCATGTATACTGTTCTGAGGGCCTAGATGATGGTGGAATAAATGTTTGTTTATTTTCAGTTGTCCCTCAGTATCCATGGATTTTTTTATCCATGGATTCAATCATGCACAGCTTGAAAATATTAAAAAATATATAAATTCCAAAAAACAAACCTTGATTTTGCCATTTTATA